AAAAATGCAGATTTAATTAGCAAGTACAAACAAGAATTCAAGTAAACTCAGTCGCAATTGGGAATCTTGAGTTAAAAGCGAAAATTGTTAATTACTGTGCCAACCGCTATCTCTGTATTTAAAAATAACTTTTTATAATTATTCCTTTTCGTGCGTGATTACATGCTGATTAAAACTTCATAACGTTTCTGACGTTTCAAAATAAATAAAATAAAAAAAACCTTATTTAGTATAAATGAAAAAATTCTTCATCAATTTTCAAAGCATGTTCTATGCGCATTTTCCATTTTTTGTATTTTTCATGGTTTTTTGTGATTTTCACGGGAATGAAGATGACTTTTCAAGAGAATAGAACATTTTTTTCTCATATAATTCAAAAATCGTCAAAATACATATGACATTGTATCTATCTCTATACGTTATTCCTAAATAAAGCTTAATCTTTTTGGATAGATGGTACATATATAAACAAAAATATAAAAGATTAATAGGAAATTTTTTTCTAAAATGGTATAGATACAAATTTATTTCTAGCTGACGAGACTCTTCTCGCAATAACATTCTGAAGAATTTACACCGCTGGTGATCGCACCGACCGCGTCGCCGCGAGGTCAGATCTAATCGTAGACAAAACGGGGGATCGGATTTCGAGAGAGATACTTACCGACGTACCGCAGACACGCGTGCAATTACCCGCCAGTTCCAGCGTGATTTATCGCCCGTACGTTTTCGCTAAAGCAAACAGGGCGTGCACGCGCACGGCCGAGTTACAAAACTCATTAGCATACGTAATGGACGCGGAATTGTGCGCAAAAATGGGCTAGAATTGAGGCAAATTCGAATAAAAATGCCAGCTAGGTCAATTTGCGGGTATCCGGGTATGCGCAAATTGTACGGCCCACGCTGTCCGGTTCTCCTGTTAACTGCGGGGCATGCTTTATCCATTCGATCGCTCTACAAGCATTTTGGATTCTGCATGTATTCCATCGACTGGTAATTCGACTCTGGGTGAAAAATAACGGGTTAATGGGCGGCGCCGATGTCAAGTACGTAATAACATAGGAATCGCGAAAACGATCACTGATAATCATACCGACTTCAATAAGGAATAGGCGAAAGAGAGAGTAAAAGTAAGTCGTCGCGAAGTTATCTCGTTGGCGATTTCCTTGCGATTATTACAAATCTATTGAATCTTAAACTATTGATACGTTCATCCCTTTTGCCGGATACTTTTGCGATAATTATTTTCCAACTTCTTTCCATAATTGAATAACATAGTCATAAAACTTGTATCTTTCCAAGTTTCTACTTGAGAGTTTAATGGGAAAAGCATCGTTATTATCTTAATGTTTTATTGCCGTTTTTATCGCAGAAGAGATTCAATAAAAAGATACACTTTAAAAATGAAACTGTAGCAAAAAACATCGAATTTTTAAATAGGATCTTCGTTTCTGTTCTTGCTCGTTTCGTGAACATTCGGTAAACTGGGCGTTCTTACAGAGTTCTCATTTCTTTCAGAGTTGGGAAGTATCGCGTTATTATTTTCGTTACTTTTTTTCGATAACGATCATTACTTTTTTCTGTCTGTAACGGTAACGGTAATGTAACGTCGTTACATTTTTACAGCAGTTATTTTAATCTCTTATTCTCTTTATAATTATTCAATAGATTGCATCATTTTTATAATTGACTAGAAATATTTTATAATAAAATACTGAAAATCTGTAGTGTACATGAAATTTTTAATAAAATCTGCGTTTATAAATTACAATCGAATTTCCTATAAAGATAATCATGTATTAAAAAATAAAAACATTAATATAAAGAATTATCGAAGATTTATTAAATATAAGTTTAATGTAAAAAAAAATTGTTATAAGATTAACTCAGAATTTTAAGTTTCAACATTGATTTTCACAATTATAATATTGATTATTAAATAACGTAATTTTTAAATCTAATATCTTATACTTTAGTATATCATAAAAAGTAACGAAAAAGTAACGATAAAAGTAACGCGCGTTAGTTTCTAAAACTTGTAACGAGTTATTTTTTTTACAAAAAGTAACGGTATAATAGCAGCACGTTACTTTTATCAAATATAACGTTTTCAACCCTGATTTCTTTTGCGTGTCGCGAGAGGATTTTCTTCCACTTCCGATTTTCTCGGCCCGATAATCGCGAGTAAAGAGGCGCTTAAGGAAACCGACGGAAGAGAGACACGTGAGTCTTTCGAGACAAAAGTCTTCTAGCCTTAAGGATTGCGAACGGTGCTTTGAGTTTGCAAAGCCCGCCGCTCGATGCAGTCGATGTCGGGTAGGAGAGAAACTGCTATGACAGTAGGAAACAGCGAAGCGGAATTTGGGGAATGGAGTCCGCCTGGAGCAGCCGGTCCATGGAAGGAACCAATGTACCGTGAGAAAGCGAACCCAGTTGAAACGACAGAAATGCCGATGGTGATTCCGGGGGTGAAACGACGACGGGCGACATGCGGGATGCTGCGGGAAAACGCTGATCGGTGGAAGATCTTTCGCGTATAAACGAACATTTTTACTCTAACTCTTGCCTGTATAATTATCGTTTGCAAATTAATGAAAGAATAATAGAAAGACTCTCGCAGAAGAAAACGTATTGGTTTCCAAGATATCGGTAGAGAGTTACGTCGTAATTGAAGGAAGAATGGCGGAATAATTGGCAGTACCGTAAATGACAAAGAACGCGGAAAAGCGATGATATATAGAATATCGCGCGGTTCTTTGACGAATTAAAAGCTAATTTTCTCTCCAACTGCAACGCCAAGGTACCAATTGTTCTCGCTTCGATGAAACGACGGAAGAATTAAGTCCGCTCCCCGTTCTCTTATATTTTTCCTCGAAAGTTCGCGACCTATCTCGACCATCCTCCGAAATAACGGATTCCATTTCGGTGCGTGTCCGCTCGCGAGCGGAGGAGAAGGCCCGGAAAAGCCGCGCGGAAAAATTTAATAAATCCTCTCCGCGTCTCAATTCCATCCGGAGCTGAGACTCGTTCGAAGTTAAGTTTCTCTGTCTCTCGCGATCTCTCTCCTACGAGACGCCCGCGTCCGCTCTCGACCCTCGTCCGCTAATAGCGACAAGTTACTTCTGACCCGTCAGCGGGGCAGACCCTTGCCTCTATATTTAGACCAGGTCGAACTACCAGAACGGCGAGAAAACAGAAAAGAAAGCACAGAAGCGCGAAGATGCGGCGCGATGCGACGCGGCATCGAGAGAAGATGAGAGAGACGGGGACGCGAGGAAAGGACCGTTTCGAGACGACGATATCTCGACGTCGAAAGAAATCGGATTATGTCCTCCGTGGACACTCGCGACTTCTGGCTTGCAGCTGCGTTACGAAGGCGATCGCAAAAACGCCGTCATACTCAAAGAGCCCGCTACTGCATCTTTGCTGTCCTCTCGACGCTCGACAATAACGCGGAGACAAAAAGTCTGTCAACTCCTCGATGAATTCGGAGCCGAACTCCCCCGGCAACTTTAAAGCTACCACAAGAGGATGCGACGATTTTCGATGATTAAACGTCAAAGCCGCGAGATGACAAAATATTACATTTTAGCTTCAAATTGATTTTACTTTGAAATTTATCCAAATTCGTGATTTTATTGAAAATGTTAAAGACGAAAAAAAAAATATCGATGCTTTTATTCTAACGGACATCGAACTGAGCGAAGAATTAATGGACGAAGGCCGATGTTGTATTGTAGGACATCGCGGACTCGTGTGGTTTATATTCGTTGCTTCGCGTATACGAGAATCGGCGGTGGTAAGGTCGACGCTGTATATTACAGTCAGACAATATGCGGCAAGAAAAAGAACAGCAAATTTATGAACGCGAGTTGAACACGACGCAGAAGCGTATTTAACGATTCATGAAACGTTTTTGTTCCTATTTCTGGAGTTTAATTTCTATACGGGTCCTTCGTCGGTAAAAGGCTTCGATATAGAATGTATGTTTCCGCGGGCAAAGTGCAATAAAATTCACATCATCAATTTATTAATACTTTCGTATATATATTTTTTAAATTTATATTTTCACCAACATTTCCAATCAAAAAATCAAAAGAGAAAGAGAGAGAAATGTGTGTGTAAAATATAACTTTTATTATTATATTCTATGAATCGAATTCGCTACTTTTTCCATTGTAAACTCGATAGTTACGTAAATAGCTATTTGTTTTTTTATTTATTTTATTTTTTATACAAAATCATTCTGCGCGCGTCAAATACGCCTGTTATATTGTATTTGTATATGTTCATTTTGATGAATCTGCAAGTGACGTTTAATTGGAATTTGGGCTCGCCGTTTCATTTCCGTTATGCTGGTTGACTGTAATTGATAACAATCAAATAACGTCGAACAGCAATTGCGAAAATTTAATTTTATGCAAACGTGAGATAAAGTCTTCTTCAATATCCTGAGTTTCCTTGAACGTTCAGTGAATAAAGCGCGAAGAGTTATTCTCAGTTATTACTAATACAATTTGTACTTCATTTGAAAGCGAAGAATGTACTTCTTTGAAACTATCGGCTAAAAAATTTACTTTCCTTTACTTTCTTACACGAGTTTTTCTTTAAATATGTAACATTTAAGAAACGATCTTTATCAAATAATAATTTAATAATAATTTAATAATGATTAAATTTTTCTGGTACGTTTAACCCGATAAATTTGAACTACAGCAACATTATGATAATATTAATAATTTCCTACTCAACAACATAAATGTAGGTAATATAAACACATGTTGTACATAATAATTACATTGAGAAAATCATAATATTGATGTCATATTGTTGCTCGACGTTTACCAGGAATCAATCTTTTTCTGATATTCTAAACTTGACTGCGCTTTCTCAGGACATGACAATAATCTTCACAATGCCACGAGAGGTGCGTGATTAGAACTCAAGGTGTTAAGGATTCCTTCAGTTAATAGGCATTTCTGACGTATCTCGCAACTTACCCAGCACCGTCGAGAGGAGTATCAAACAAACCGCCAAGCCACTCATCTTCGCTGATGGATCTGTTGTCTCGTACAACACCAGCTCGCTTCAATCTCGTATCGACGATACTTTAACGTTCCCGCTATTTCATGCTTTATCAGCCCACTTAGTGCAGAAAGGAAAAAACCCGGATTTCTTCTCAATCTTTTTCCTGTTTTTTTTTTTTAGATTACTGCTCGCCTTGTCTCCCTACTGATTTCACACGAGTCATTAGATAAGGCATTGGACAAAGATAAAACGTTTATACGCAGATTTTTGTGTATAGTTATTTCGACGACATAAATTTGGGCGTTTCTTTTTATAGCATCGTAACGGTGAAGGAGAGTTGAATGTCCGCTAACGCGTATTTCCGAAGTCTATTTTTCGAGAAGTAAGTAAGAACCCAGCAAATGCAAACTAACGGTAACATTACATTATTGCTATAATTTAATTCCTTCTCAACAACTAAATATAACACATATTGTATGTAACAGTTATATTACTGAATGGAAAATTATAAGATAATTGATGTAATATTACTATTAGTTGGCAAATGCAAACTAACAGTAACATTACATTACTGCTATAAATTAATTCCTACTCAACAGTACAAATATAATATAACACATATTGTGTGTGTACTCCGCATAAAAAAATGTACACCCAGAGAAAGGTTTCTTTCATTCAAAGAAATGTTTCTTTGCTATACGGTTAAAGAAAAAAATTCTTTGATTTGAAAATAATTTTTTTAAATCAAATAAATTTTTTCTACTTATCGTACTACTAGTGCAATAAGTAAATTCGAATAGTGGTGGAAAAAATTTCATTAAAATTACAATGAATTTTATTGTGAAAATAAGTATTATTGATTAGCATCATATTTCAGAGGATACACGACAAAATTATAATAAAAAATGTTTCCTTTATGAATTCTAGAACTAATAAAATTATGCATCATAAAATTAGTTCTAGAATTCATAAAGGGAACATTTTTTATTATAATTTTGTCGTGTATCCTCTGAAATATGATGCTAATCAATAATACTTATTTTCACAATAAAATTCAGTGTAATTTTAATGAAATTTTTTCCACCACTATTACACACAACTATTCGAATTTACTTATTGCACTAGTAGTATATTTTTCTGCGGGACGAAACAGTAATATTATTGAGTGGAAAATTATGACATTAATATAATATTACTATTAGTTGGCGTTTGCTGGAACGTGATTGAAATTTAGGGTGACATATTTTAATTTACTTTTTATTAAAAACTTTAATAAAAAGTTAAATTGTATTATTACTTTAAATCTTTTTGGTATGTCTGTTTTTCTATAAAGATACTTTAATATGATAAGAATTTAATTCTTTCATGGAATCGCCAAGGGATGGAATAAAACTTTTGACTTTGTCTCCTGCACGAAGCTCGCATTTACGGAATGACGCGGATCAGTACCACTGTTGTGCCCAACGGCGTTGGGGGAAACTTATCTCGCGTCGTCAGGGAAGCGGCAACGCGGCGAGTACCACGCGGATGCTGTGACTGACGCCGGTTACACGCTGCACGCCAAGCACACGGGACCAGTTCGAGGACCGAGTTAGACTGAACGCAAGTCCGTGGTTCTCTCTTCGAGTTCTCAGCCCTACCTAAGGTACAAGGCGTACTGGGTATGGTACACGGACTCGCCCGCCTCCCTGTGAATAACGTTTTCTTCCATCATTAGCCGTACACATAAATATACACACGCACACACGAATGTGACACACGCTCGCGTGTACGGATGATCGATGTGTGTCGCGTGTATCTATCCGAAAGCGGGATCGTCAAAGCGAAAATGAAATCATCGATAGAATGACTGTCGGAGTTGATTCGTTGAAATTTTATCAGGAGAGAAAATTGGAGAGAGTAATATTCCATGAAGGGTGTCATCTTCATCAGAGCTTCATAGATCTAAAAAATTGAAATTGTGCCAATCAACGTGAAAGGATATTAGGCAAAATTCTAATTTAAAAAAAAAAAGACAAGATTCCCGAAAAGCATTAACGTGACTCTTACTTTTTCTGGAATAAAGCTTATTCTAAAATCTAACTAAATTATTATATATATTATCTATGTTATATATAAGAGATATATATATTATTTTATATTATTTTGTACTAATTCTATGCGCTGTAATCTAAACTACTTCCCAAGCAGAACAAGTCACGATAATGTCAAAATGACTTTAAAATGAATCGGAAATGATTGAAAAATGACTTTTAATGATCATTTTGGAGTCATTTTGATATCACATTGACTTGTTGTTCTGCTTGGGTTTCTTATTATTATTATTCAACTTTTATATGAATTTTTTTTATAGCTACGATAAAAAAATAATTTGAAAAGTAACACAAATAAATTATTAGTGTGAAATAGACAAATAAAAATAACATATTTTTTAGTTGCCTTCCAATATGTGATTTTTCGCAAACGACAGTTATCATACAACTATGTTTTTCGAAAGATTGAATAGGACGAGTGCGATAGAAAAATATGTTATCAGTAAAATTACATGTTTTTCACTGTAGATGGTTATTGAATACCGCGTTGAAAAAAATACTTTTACATCTCGCTGGCGCGTGAAAATTTTAATTCATTACTCACTGCACCCGAACACGCGCGCTACAAATAATTGTGGAACGTAACAACGGTAACAATTGCAACGACCGCTTTTATTTCGTTCGCGGAAATAAGATGAGATCTATACCGATAACGATGAACTTTCGGTTCTTTCAAATGAAGTATTTATTGTCATCTCCTATTGAATTGCTTTTTGTGTCACGATATTATTGAGTAATTTTTGTGTAATTGAAATCATCTATATTATTATCTATAAATATATTTCTTCTATTAAAAGTAAAAATATGTATATATATATATAAAAATTAAATTATAATTAAACCATTAATTTTTTCTATAAAGGTTTTTAGTATTATTATTGTTGAATGGTTTTATGTAAGAGTAATTACCACGCGTCTTTTTATGTGTAAAAACAGATTCATTCTAAATAAAAATGTATTTTTAAAAATTGAATTAATAAAATTCTCTTCACAACAACTGGTTTTTATAATATTATTGAATACTTTTTAAAAGAAACTATCTAATTTTTTAGAATAAAAATTCTTCTATTATAAAAATAAATTTTTATATAAATATTAAACTGCTAATTGTCTTGTACAAATGATTTTTTATGAAATTATTGAATTAAGAAAAAAATCTTTTTTTATCTATCAAAAATTTCCTTTATTAAGTCTATTTACAAAAATACAATTGTTAAAATAAAAATTTGCGTTATATTGATGCAATTAATTATTTATATATTTTGTAAAACTCAAGTTTAAATTATTTTTGTAAAATTGTCATTTTCTAATTTCCAAAGGCTCAGACAAATTGATTTAAAAATACTATGTTTTAAATTCTTCAGAAGAAAATGAAAACAAAAATATAATATTTCGCTTTTGATTCCATTTATATCGAACATGTATACAAATTAACCCAGTACATTTTTATAATTTTCTCTCTTTTAAATTGCATATTGTTACTTACAAAAACGTAGTGCATGTATAATTAAATACACTGTATAAATGTACACGGGAATCAGCAACATAGTGAGCTCGAGTCCATGAATTTGCTAATAAACGCAAATAGTGCGGATCAGTCATCCTCATGGAAAGAAGACCTAGTGGCGCCATCAGTTAGTGAAAAAGGAAAGTTTTTATGAAAAATCTGCCATTATGAATGTCGGATAGTTTTTACAAATCATTGACAGGTGTATTTATTTCAAAACGAAGACTAAATAAGCAACTTTTTATCGGGAAAAGAAAGATATATAGTCTATTCTTTTCAGTTGATCTTCTCGCATTGTTTATTTTTCTTTTTCTTTCCATTGGAAAAAAAAGGAAAGATATCAGTAGAAGTTGAACTGAACAGACTGTAAGTATAAACAGTCATTACTTTGTTAAATTATTTATTTGTTTATATACTCTTACTATAAATGCTAAAGAACAAATAAAGCTTATGGAAAAAGTTCTCTATTAGAAATATACATTAAGTTCAATTTATACAAATATTAATAAAGATTCAAGAAAATTTTAATAAAAACACAAATGTTAATATTTTATTATTGATAGTTTTATTATAAGGAATCATATGATTGTAAAAAAACAAGACATTATTATAGTACGTAAAATTAATTTCTTTATTCAAGATTTCCTACGAAAGAATTGCATGTGAGGATTAATAAAATTAAAAACTCAGAATAGAATTTATTATAATATAATTGAACGATTTAATATAACGCGATACTTTAGCAGAGATCACAATGGAATCAGACATCTCCGCCTCTAAGTCGAAGTACAAGGTGAAGTACTATCAAAAATTTCCTTTATTAAGTCTATTTACAAAAATACAATTGTTAAAATAAAAATTTGCGTTATATTGATGCAATTAATTATTTATATATTTTGTAAAACTCAAGTTTAAATTATTTTTGTAAAATTGTCATTTTCTAATTTCCAAAGGCTCAGACAAATTGATTTAAAAATACTATGTTTTAAATTCTTCAGAAGAAAATGAAAACAAAAATATAATATTTCGCTTTTGATTCCATTTATATCGAACATGTATACAAATTAACCCAGTACATTTTTATAATTTTCTCTCTTTTAAATTGCATATTGTTACTTACAAAAACGTAGTGCATGTATAATTAAATACACTGTATAAATGTACACGGGAATCAGCAACATAGTGAGCTCGAGTCCATGAATTTGCTAATAAACGCAAATAGTGCGGATCAGTCATCCTCATGGAAAGAAGACCTAGTGGCGCCATCAGTTAGTGAAAAAGGAAAGTTTTTATGAAAAATCTGCCATTATGAATGTCGGATAGTTTTTACAAATCATTGACAGGTGTATTTATTTCAAAACGAAGACTAAATAAGCAACTTTTTATCGGGAAAAGAAAGATATATAGTCTATTCTTTTCAGTTGATCTTCTCGCATTGTTTATTTTTCTTTTTCTTTCCATTGGAAAAAAAAGGAAAGATATCAGTAGAAGTTGAACTGAACAGACTGTAAGTATAAACAGTCATTACTTTGTTAAATTATTTATTTGTTTATATACTCTTACTATAAATGCTAAAGAACAAATAAAGCTTATGGAAAAAGTTCTCTATTAGAAATATACATTAAGTTCAATTTATACAAATATTAATAAAGATTCAAGAAAATTTTAATAAAAACACAAATGTTAATATTTTATTATTGATAGTTTTATTATAAGGAATCATATGATTGTAAAAAAACAAGACATTATTATAGTACGTAAAATTAATTTCTTTATTCAAGATTTCCTACGAAAGAATTGCATGTGAGGATTAATAAAATTAAAAACTCAGAATAGAATTTATTATAATATAATTGAACGATTTAATATAACGCGATACTTTAGCAGAGATCACAATGGAATCAGACATCTCCGCCTCTAAGTCGAAGTACAAGGTGAAGTGTAGACTCTTTCTGAATATTATAGTCGGATAAAGTCCGTCCATCCTCTAGCTGCTTGCCCGCGAAAATCAGTCTTTGTTGATCGGGAGGAATGCCTTCTTTATCCTGAATTTTCGCTTTCACGTTTTCGATCGTGTCCGAAGCCTCAACCTCCAGTGTGATAGTTTTACCAGTGAGAGTCTTGACAAAAATCTGCATACCGCCGCGAAGCCTCAAAACCAAATGCAGGGTAGATTCCTTCTGAATGTTATAATCAGAAAGCGTACGGCCGTCTTCGAGCTGTTTTCCGGCAAAGATCAACCTCTGCTGATCGGGAGGAATGCCTTCTTTATCTTGAATTTTCGCCTTCACGTTTTCGATCGTGTCCGAAGCCTCAACCTCCAGTGTGATAGTTTTACCAGTGAGAGTCTTGACAAAAATCTGCATACCGCCGCGAAGCCTCAAAACTAAATGCAGGGTAGATTCCTTCTGAATGTTATAATCAGAAAGCGTACGGCCGTCTTCGAGCTGTTTTCCGGCAAAGATCAACCTCTGCTGATCTGGAGGGATTCCTTCCTTGTCTTGAATTTTGGCTTTGACATTCTCGATCGTGTCCGACGCCTCAACTTCCAACGTGATGGTCTTTCCTGTTAATGTCTTGACGAAAATTTGCATTCCACCACGTAAACGAAGAACCAAATGCAAAGTCGATTCCTTCTGAATGTTATAATCTGAAAGTGTGCGACCGTCTTCAAGCTGTTTTCCGGCGAAGATCAACCTCTGCTGGTCCGGGGGGATTCCTTCCTTGTCCTGAATTTTTGCTTTCACGTTCTCAATCGTGTCCGACGCTTCGACTTCCAGAGTGATTGTCTTACCGGTGAGCGTTTTGACAAAAATTTGCATACCACCGCGAAGCCTTAAAACCAAATGCAATGTGGATTCCTTTTGAATGTTGTAGTCAGAAAGGGTACGGCCATCTTCAAGCTGTTTTCCGGCGAAGATCAACCTCTGCTGGTCCGGAGGGATTCCTTCCTTGTCCTGAATTTTTGCTTTCACGTTCTCAATCGTGTCAGATGCCTCAACTTCCAATGTGATGGTCTTTCCGGTCAATGTTTTGACGAAAATTTGCATACCACCACGTAAACGGAGAACCAAATGCAGTGTGGATTCCTTCTGAATATTGTAGTCAGAAAGTGTGCGGCCATCTTCAAGCTGTTTTCCAGCAAAGATCAATCTTTGCTGATCCGGAGGGATTCCTTCTTTGTCTTGAATTTTTGCTTTGACATTTTCGATCGTGTCAGATGCCTCAACTTCCAACGTGATGGTCTTTCCGGTCAATGTTTTGACGAAAATTTGCATACCACCACGTAAACGGAGAACCAAATGCAGTGTGGATTCTTTTTGAATGTTGTAGTCAGAAAGAGTGCGGCCATCTTCAAGCTGTTTTCCGGCGAAGATCAATCTCTGCTGATCTGGAGGGATTCCTTCTTTGTCTTGAATTTTTGCTTTGACATTTTCGATCGTGTCAGATGCCTCGACTTCCAACGTGATGGTTTTTCCGGTCAATGTTTTGACGAAAATTTGCATACCACCACGTAAACGGAGAACCAAATGCAGTGTGGATTCTTTTTGAATGTTGTAGTCAGAAAGAGTGCGGCCATCTTCAAGCTGTTTTCCGGCGAAAATCAATCTCTGCTGATCTGGAGGGATTCCTTCTTTGTCTTGAATTTTTGCTTTGACATTTTCGATCGTGTCAGATGCCTCGACTTCCAACGTGATGGTTTTTCCTGTCAGGGTTTTGACAAAGATCTGCATTCCACCACGCAATCTGAGGACCAAATGGAGAGTGGATTCCTTCTGAATATTGTAATCGGATAAGGTACGTCCGTCTTCAAGCTGCTTTCCAGCGAAGATCAAACGCTGCTGATCGGGTGGGATACCTTCCTTATCTTGGATCTTTGCTTTTACATTCTCGATGGTGTCAGAAGCTTCAACTTCAAGGGTTATGGTCTTCCCGGTCAATGTCTTCACGAAAATCTGCATAGTGCTCTATAATAAAATTTCAAAATCAAATTTTCATATAGACGGTTATCTTTTAAATATCATACATATAAAAAATTATCTAAATAAATCGATTCTAATTATTTAACAAAATGAGGACACTTCGAAGGACACGGATAAAAAAACAAGTTTAGATTTAGACAGATCTTAAAAAAAAAAAAGGTTAAATCACACATTCAGATAAGCCGTATACAAAATTATATTAGAACCACGAAACTGAGAAAGCTGGATGTTTGCAGATCACAGCTGCTTACATGACGCAGTAACATCGAAGGCCGCCATTTTAGTTGGTTTTAGTTGCTCGTCATTGCTCGTTACTAAGCGTATGACGCCATATTATTCCGAGAAAACGTAATGACAAATACTGGATTATTTCTACGATTTTTTGCTCATTTCCTACATGCTTCTCACTTTGATGCGGATACAAAACGACTTTTCGATTCAATTTCGGAATGTACCGATTCAATAAAAAACGCCAATCAAAATAATCCCACAATCTAGTCCGCCTAGCAACAGGGCCAACAGGCTTGAAACAATCAATAATGTGCGCATGTGAAATACACATTTGGAAATGACTCATACGAATCTATGACGCGTTTCTTGTTAAACGTAGCGTGTCGACGGCTATCCGACAAATTCCATGATTATCATTATTACTATCCATTATTACTATGCCTCGTATTATCATTATTACTATCCATTATTACTGTGCCTCGTTTGCACGAATAAGTCCATTTTCCGGCCAAGGGCAAAAATTCCAAAACCAAGAATTAGTATATCGGCGAGTATAATGAACATACCTTCTGTTTGAAAGCTTCTAGCTATGTGTTCTCACGCAAGACGATTTGGCAACTGTCGTAGATTAAACGCTCTTCTCTGCTCCAATTCACAGTGACTATTGAAAGCGCCAGCGTCACGAGCCTTGCTTTTATACCACGAAATCACGTACGACTGCGAATAATGCATACTCGTATCCGATTGGCCGACCGCCGATTGGCTCGCTAGTTGCGCACGTCATTAATCGGTATGACGTATGATATGCGGACTGACGCAGACCTCGCGTACTGACTTGGCAACAATGGCGACAAAGAACACTCTAGAGTTTTCTGCGTGGTTCTCCGTAATTCTAGTGTTATATATTATGTACAGAGCGTTGCAAAATGAATCACCTCATTTTAAACTATTATATATTTTTGATAGGCTATGAAAGAGTAATATGAAGTATATTTTAAACGAATATATTCAGAGAGAATAACCTAAAATTAATTAATTTTACGCCAGAAATAACAATTCAATTATTAATAAATAATTCAATAATTGTGGCGAATTTCGTCGACGATCCGGAAATCGAGCATTTCAACTGCGTACATAATTTAAAGATCAATTTGTCGATTTTTTAAAATTTCATATATCAAGTACATACGTGATCGAAAAGTGCGAACAAATTGTTTCGTGAATATTGAACGTGTAATGTTCAACAGAAAATTTGAGAGAGCATTTGAAAGCGCATTTAAGGCGATTATTTATCAATATTTTTGGTAATTAAAAAAAATCAAGTTTTAATTGCTGTTTAGAATTTGCGTTTTCATTTCAATTTTAATGGATTAATAATGAAAGTGAGAGAGAGAGAGAGAGAGAGAGAGAGAGAGGCGATTAATTTTACAGCACCTTGTACATACATCTGTCCCCATTTATCAGAAACCGAAACAGTTATAATTTCCTGTTTGAGCTCAGCTTTCGAAAACGATTCTCACATTTATCTATCACGTTTATTTATATATTATAAATAAGACGTTGATGACGCAAAATGATGCATTCTCTAAATATAAGTTGATTATAAAAAAATGTCCTTGTCAAAAGATATTTGTGACTAAACACGATGAATTACTCCTTTAATATAATATTCAGGAACGAAACGGTTTCGATGGATACCGGGATGCTCGCTGAACATTCATTGTTCGAGTATTGTTTCTCTAAGAGAGATTTCTATTTTCGCTTTTCGTTGTATAAATCGACCTCGCAAAATTTAATTCGCAGAATTGCCGAGTCATAAACATAACGTCGCAATTTCAATGACTCGCAGACTGATGCAATACTAACCGTGCACGAAAATAAGGTAGAAACAAAGTAGATAACACGTTATGCATATCGATCATTAAGATTATTCTCAGAAAACGTTCGTTCTTGTTTTCGAAGTAAAAAAACATGCTCTTCAAAGAATGTTCTTCTCTTGTAAAAATCAACCAGTTTGACGCAAGAATCTTATAAAACTGGAACATAAAAAAATACATATACTTAAAGATACTTTAGAAGGTCAATGTGTATCTCGAAACGAGGTGAAAATTATAGAAATAACTCACTAAGTATCGACTAATGAAATTATAAATATTCTAGTGAAATTGCTTGTTTTTGTAATTCTTATTTTATTTCAGATACACAATCGACTTGCGGGTTCGAAAAACAATAACTAAAAAATAAACTGCAGGTGCACACTATTGGCTTTCGCCTTCAAATTCGAATTACTTCGTACGTATTGAATTTTTTCGTAAATAAAACATTGAAGTTGGAAAAGGAAAGGAACAGTAATATCAAGGAAATTGTTAATTCTTTCAGTCAGAAATATCAACGAGTTCACAGTTGCGTCGTACACATGTTCGTTTTATTCAATGATCATTCAAAAATAGAACAGAAAGTCTACACAAGTCAGAATAAATTCACTTAAATGAGGAGGTAATGTCTAAAAATTGAAACGTCAAAGTTTTAACTCGACTGGGTCGCTTGAAATTCTGTAAATGAAACAATTTATAATATTATGTATTAAAAAAATGTTAACACGTGCACTTTCTCCGCATCGGATAATCATCAAGCATCCAAATCATCGAGTTATAAATATATTGGCGCTATTTTCTGCGTGAGTCACGTACGTGACAATAGCATATATCGTAAATAGTTGTCACTTTGTGCAGAAGTGTGAGAGAGAGAAAGGATATAATATTTTCTACACGTACCGACTACACACACAACATACACACAAAATCTCAATACAATCTATTGCCTACTCTTGAACTTCAAACTTATAAACGTTCGTCGTCGTCTTACCACACGTTCATTTAAATTCTTGTGTATTTTCTATAACCGATAAATGGTTAATCAGCCTAGCTGATTTAAATTCAGTGAACGCGTCCGTCAGTTTCGTCGAGACAAATCTAATATCAGAATTAACAGAATTGTATCAGTCTGAAAAAATTAGCGATCAACTCGAGATTTCCTTAATATAGCGCTACCTTCATTTTGTGACACGCCTATTACAGATTAAATACATCGTAGGAAATAAATCATTGCCATAAAGTAAACAGCTCATAATAGAGACGTAGAGACAAAGAGCGCCCGCTATTACAGCTTAATAAACGCGTCTTATATCTTTATTATAATAATCCTATCATTCCTCAGATTGCGCGTACTCTAAAAATCATGACAAGCATCAGCCTAGTTTCAAATTGTCCTTATCCGAAGACATCTCTCCTCCTAAACAAGCAACTGACACGGCGGGAAAAGAAACTGCTTCCTTATACTAGATAAGTTAATAGATAATTCGTATTGCAAATACGAATCTTTTGGTAGATCTTCTACTTGGAATCTGTTTCCATTTTGATCTCTTCCGCCTTTTTATCTTTTTTCGAAGCCTCGCTATCTGTACCCTCTCCGTTGCTGTTATCGCGTCTTCGTTTGCGAGCGAATCGTCCCTTGAATTTCGGCGGCGGCAATTGCTCCATACCTAGGACTTTGTGAATCTGGCGGAATGCCACTAATCGCAAAGCGTGCTGCGCCGACGAAGTAATATCTTCTCTCTGTTGGGACGTCATGCTTCCTATTGCATCAACTGGCTCTTTCTCGCACGGATCGGATAATCCTAAAACGAAGAGATTATAATCGACATTGATTTCCGCACGTTATCTTTCGATCAACAGTACAATTACAATTTTTATCAGATTGCCATATCATCTGCGCATATCGCGGAAGACATGATTATGATACAGGAGAACAAAATACTTGTACTCGAGTTCGAAAACCAGCTCCACAATACGCTCAGTCTCGTCATCTTTTTCATCATTTGAAGATAGGAAATTAAAATATCGAAACATGGTATGACAAAATGAATTTTAGAAATTACCTGGACTACCCGGTAACAATATTCCTCCAGCTACGCATTCCAGAAGTCTTCTCAAGGCTTCACCGGGACTAAGGGGACCTCCCGCGGTGCTAATCACTTTCTCAGTCAATAATTCCAATGCCTGTATACATTGAAAATCGAATGATCGAGAATTCAAAAATCGTGAGAACATGCGAGTAATTAATGGAAGATAATACGTCGCGTATACTAACCCAAGGATTTAACGGACCCCATGTTGGCACACGATTACACAGGTCGCGCATAATACGGATAACCATAACACAGCTCTGCAGCGAGGTAGCTCTAGCCTGTTGAACAGGATTAACATTTTACAAACTACGATTTAATATACGTAATAGATGCACTGGCTCTTCTGGAGATAAGACAGCCTAAACTATCCTTCGATTGCTTTGTGTGGGCTTTAGCTATCCTCCCAGCCTCGTGCCTAGTGCCCCTAATAGTATTAGCCCATATCAATATTACCGGGTGTTTATCGATTACTCTTTCCTAGACGTTAATACCTGTCGCAATAATTAAAAAAAAAGCCATAATTCATGTGTTTCAAGGAAAACTGTGCACATCTTAGAATAACTTTAGAACTCGACTCTAATCTACAGAAACACCCGGTACACTTATGACGCGCTACTGTGTGTTTGTGCTTGTCTGTCTCTTTTAATCTCCAAAGCTGTGCAATTAACGCACATGAAATTGTTACAATACAAAAATGGAACGAAATACATAATCTCACAAAAGCTGTACTGATGCTATATGTCGATTTGCTTTCAAGTTAAGACAGACCTAGAACAGACGCAGCCTAGGCTACAACGCATTAAGGACGATCCAGAATAATGAATTACGCTTGATCGTAAAGCAATCGAGGTCTGCGTTAGTAAAGAAAATAAAGAAAATCACATTCGTTCTAAGGACATAAATGAATTATACTCGAATTGCGACGTCTCGCAGTACAGTTCCTATTATTCTGGATGTTGAAGATTTAAAGCAAAGCAGATGTAAATGCATCTAGCAGCATTTTCGCGTGACTGTCGAGATACAAATTTACATGTTGCTTACTTGCAAGATTTCTTGCCTGATAATATATCTGATCGCATGTTCGATGTGTGATTAGCTTTCTCTTCCATGTACGGACGATGCCACTGTTATCCGTTATTTCGGAACTATTTTTATTTCGGACCGTTCTAAATTATGGTATGGTCATAAACGGTGGCAATAAACGTGATCCGAAACATAAATGTAAAATCTAAAACTCCAAAGAGGGTACAGTGGACAAAGCCGACGTGG